AAATATTTAAATATTTATTTTTTTATTATCACGTTACAGAAAGTATAAAGAAGGTTAATGCTATCTACTAATACATTTCCGCACGAATAAGTGCACTAACCGCATGCTTATATCGAATAATTATTGTTGCTATGTGCATTTATATTAAAATCATCGTACATATCAATAAGATTAAAATGATTGAATATATTTTCAATTGTGGTAGTCATGATAATACGGTTTAACTTTTGTCATTTCGTATTTATGTGCATAATTTCTTTTTTTGTCGTTTGATTTAATTAATTATTTAAAATTTCCATAAATGTTATTCATTTTCCGGTTGCATTCGCTTTTTCATTAAGTACATTAAGGGTTCTAAAAAATGTAGAAAAATGGGACTGATATATATATATTATATTATTATATGCTCAGTATCTTAAAATTCATCAAGATAAATTATTATTTCGAAAAGGAATTGCGTTATTTTTTTGGTTCTTTTTGTCCTTGATTCTTTATTCATAATTAGATAAAAAAAAAAAAAAATATGTGTACTTTTAGAATATAAACCAAAAAATTCGAAAGATTATTGCGTATTTATTAATTTTTTTCACTTGCTTTTTTTTCCTCCCCCTCTTTAGTAATGAATTTCAAAGTTCATCCTACTTTCATTTTATAACCCACTTTCAAATAGATCTACGAGTATAATAATAATAATAATAATTGGCAAGGAATGATTGTATAATACGCTTTTATATTTTAAGCGATAGATTAAAGAACAAAATTTTTAGGCCTATTTTTCTGTCACCGGTAACATTTGTACTTCTTTTAAAATGATCGTTCATATTTAACGAAGTTTAACTTATAGAATTTTAACATGTATACCGTGTTCGTACTAGCATAAAATTAATTCCAATGTTTTATACGTTTTATATATTTTTTTCATATTTTTATTTTTTATACAAAATATTTTTATTGCACGTTTGATGAATTACGTGCGTAAATCTTTAGGTATTCCTTCAAATTTTAATTAATAAAAAAAAACAGAATTTTGTCCTTTCGAAAGATATGCTTAATCTATATTTATGCATGTAGATAAAAAAAAAAAAATAGAAAGAAATATCATAGTATTACTTATTGTTAACAAGTGTTAAGTGTCAGGCATTTTATGTCAACGTTATTGAACAAAAATAAAGATTCATTGCTATTTATATAAATAAAATGCGTTATAACGCGTGTTATATTTATATATTATATATAAATAAAATAATATTTACATAACGCTTTAAAACGTTGTAATAATTTCTAATGCCGTCTCAGTGGGGAAAGTTATTTGCAAATAACTTCCGGGGTAACCGTAGAAGAGAAAATATATAACATTATTGTATTTTAATAGAGAACAGAGAATAAAGGGAAAAATTACGTTAGGTTAATTATTTTATATTATTTCATATTTATTATGTTTGAAATAAATTTATTAAAATAATTCTGCCGAGAGATAACAGTTGATCAAGACAAAATATTAAACCAAATATTGATTTTAAGAGATTGATTTTATTTTACTATTTATATTTATTTAATTTTGTTCTTTTTTTCTATTTATTTTGTTGTTATTGTTATTGTTCCTCTTGTAATCGTACAAATGAAGAAAGTGTGAAATACAAAACTAAAATAAAAAGGTTTTTTTTTCCGCGTGTTATTTATCGATCGGAAATGTTTTCCTCGTAATGTGTGATGTCCTTCGTAAAGTTTTGTCAGTTCCCCGACAAAAGGTTTTTCATTAGTTGGAGCAGTATCGTAAAAGTCATAAAAAAAAAAAGAAAAAAAAAAAGGGAAACAGCAAACATACTAATTTATTACGAATACTAAAATCACATAATTCTATTCTTAATGACATAATACTACAATGTTATTAATCATTTCAACTTATTACGCATAAATAATTTATTGTTGGTTAGAGTACCAATACAAATATACTTTTATCAACATTCTAATATAACTTTCGTTATCTACTTAATGTCATAAAATTCAATTTTCAATGACAAGACAATCCAAGAAAAAGCATGTACTCCGTGCGTATAGTTGATTTAAAAGATACATCGTTGTAACATTAACAAAACACAAAACAAAATACAAAAAAAAATATTATTATTTTTTATTCGTTTTCATCTGAAAATGAAATAATTCATGTTTTATCTTATCATCAATGTCGTTTATAAAATACATAAAAGTCAAGGTATTCAACAGTCCAAGATTTGACCTCTGGTAATTATTCCGGATATTAATTTTTTTTTTTCTCACTAACTCTTCATTAATATTCATAATTAAAATTAAATATAATATAACTTGTAAATAATTGTAATTAATAAGTGTTTGGTCAAATAAGATTACACACATATGTATATAATATATTATATTTTTGTAATACATTATTATATTATATCTTATTATATATACACTTGGTTACAAGAATATATATGTAATGTATTAATATTGTATTAC